TTCCATGCCAGTGGAGAGACACTTGGACGCTGCCCACAGGTACCCTTCGTGCTCCACCGGTCCACATCTGCACGAACGTTTGCCCCTTTCGCCCTTAGACAAGCTGGAGCAGAGCTCTTACGGTGGGTCCTTGTGTCTTGCAGCTACAGTGGCCCTGACACCCAGGGACCAGCGGTGGATTGGAGCCTGGTGGCTGGGACTGCTGATATCCTCGGGCTGCTTGGTGCTCACATCCATTCCTTATTTCTTCTTCCCTCGGTACATGCTGAAAGGAGAGGTGAGACCTCATCTCCAGAAGGCAAGCTGGAGCAGAGCTCTTACGGTGGGTCCTTGTGTCTTGCAGCTACAGTGGCCCTGACACCCAGGGACCAGCGGTGGATTGGAGCCTGGTGGCTGGGACTGCTGATATCCTCGGGCTGCTTGGTGCTCACATCCATTCCTTATTTCTTCTTCCCTCGGTACATGCTGAAAGGAGAGGTGAGACCTCATCTCCAGAAGGCCAGAACGTCTCGGTGCCAGGGCTGCGCTTGGGGAGGGAATACCTGTCCCCAGAGGAGAGGGGTGGGAGGGAGGAAGGGAGCCCAGCAGCCCTTCTCAGGTGTGGTTGCAACTTCTCACGAGTGAAAAGTCCTTCAGACAAGCTCTGTGCCTCTAACACAGTGAGGGGCCAGAGCCTTCCCTTCCTCGCCCTCAGTGGACAGCCAGAACCACCCCAGCTCAGCGGACCAAAACCAGACCTCGAGCCCTTCCCACTCGCTGCATCGACAGCATCTGTTGGGAAGGTTTGGGGTAGACCTGCGCCTTCCCTGGGGCAGGGCGATGCCTGGGTGGCTTCTGGGGGTTCCTGCATGCAGTCCTCCTTGGTAGGGGTCTGCCTGGGGGGACTTGGCCCTCCTGGGGTGTCTGCCCTGGTTCTGCTGGTGGTGGCTGTATCTTAACTCCCCACTGCAACACGCTCTGCGAGGTGACACTCCCCTGATGCCCGCAGCACCGTGATCTGTGACAGCCCCTGCTCGGACCAGAGCACCCTCAAGCGTGGCATACATGGGAGCAGCACTGGGATAAAGCCGGGCAGCGGGGTTTGATAAATGGGAAAAAATGGCAGAAAAGAGACAAGTTTCCCATTAAAACAAATCTTAAAAGACGCAAAACTATCAAAACATTTCATTTCAGTGTTTCCAAAGCCGAGTCCCACTGCTTTAGTTTCAAAAATAGTTTTGGTTTGTTTTGAAATTGTTTGATCATCGATTCTTTAAAGGTCAAAATCAAACCCAAAATATTGTCTCCGGCTTTCATGTTCAGACTTTCTGCAGAATTACAGAAAGAAGTGTTGTGTCAGGGTTCGGGAGAGGAAAACTTTCCAAAAAGCCTCTTAAAACCTCTCCAGGCAGGACAAGCTTCTGCCTTCCAGCTCTGCTCAGGGGCTGCCGTGATTTTTGAGAGAGTTCGCCCCTTCGCTGCGGCGGGCAGGAAAACCGTGGGGCTTGGCGTGAAGGCAAAAGCACCTGGGAGGGACCCTGCTCCTCCCAAGCCCTCACTGCGGGCCGCTCTTCTCTCCCCCTCCAGGACCTGAACGCGGAGGCTGGCATGCTCAGGAAGATGGAGAAGGGGGTGGCTGAAGAAACCTCCCTGCTGGAGTTCATAAAAAGTAAAGGGCTGGAGTTTACAAAAGTGATCGGGGGCTCCGGGCCATGCTGGGTGGGTGGAGACCACCACACCAGCCTCTTCAAGCTGAGGGCGCTTGTTGGGGGCCTTTGAGTCTCTCCACCACGTTGCGTGGAGATGCCAGGGCCAGCTGAGGCACCTCAAGGGCTGTGGTGCGCCCTTCCCTACGGACCACGGGGAGGGGGACACAGCCGCCCTCTTGCTATGGGACCGCGCTGTCGAGGTCTGTGGAGCCTGAATCATCTCTGAAAGTTGTTTTCAGGGTCTTAAACGGCATGAGCATGCTGGAAGACGCTAGCCGGGTGGTTTAACCCACGGGCCCAGGAGAGGGCATGGGGCTGCCGGCGTCACCAGCCGTCGCTTTGAGAAGGTCGCCGCACTGCAGCTTGCACCAGTTTGTTTATGCGTAGCTGAAACGGCCTTGAGTAGGCATGTCACCGATGAGAGGGATCAGTTTAATGACTTACGTTAGCTCCATGGCGACTTCTTTCCAGCTAAAGCCCCCCCGGGCTCCTTCCCTCTCCATCCAACCACGGTGGTATCTTGAGGCTGTCAGCTCCTTCTGAGAAGGTCGCCGCACTGCAGCTTGCACCAGTTTGTTTATGCGTAGCTGAAACGGCCTTGAGTAGGCATGTCACCGATGAGAGGGATCAGTTTAATGACTTACGTTAGCTCCATGGCGACTTCTTTCCAGCTAAAGCCCCCCCGGGCTCCTTCCCTCTCCATCCAACCACGGTGGTATCTTGAGGCTGTCAGCTCCTTCTTCTCTACCTCACTGGGCTTCGACGAGGGGTCTCCGCGGCACGCTCTGCTCGGAGGGGAGAGCTCACTACAGCCCAGATAAGCAGAGCTGCTCCTGAGGAGCCTGGAGTCAGTCTGCCTCTGCCAAAAGGCTGTCCTGGCCGGGCAAGGGGACGTGATGTCCCACCAGGAGAATACACTGCGTTCCTCAGCTGCAGGAGCCAGACCCTGCCGGTGCGCAGCTGGCGGGGCGCTGCCAAAACCCCTGCGGCTTTGTTTCGCCCGCGGGTACGGCTTCTGCTCCAGAAAAGCAAACGCACCCAGGCGGGGAGGGAGGGTGGTGGGCAGAGCTGGCCCTCCACCTCGCTCCTCGGGGCGCTTTGGCCATGGTCCTGGCAGCTGCCGGGACAAATTAGGGTGTCTCCCCTTCCGTTCTCCCATGGCCTTAGAACACCTCTTGCATTAACTCACTGGGAACAGTCTAAGGGTGGTTGTTTTTTTTCACAGTACGAATTGCTGGCGTGAGGATCGCATGGCCAAAACACATTTTCCCCGCTGTTTCCCTGTAGGATTCCCGAAGATCTTTCTCAGGCTCCTCCTCAACCCCCTCTTCATTCTCCTGGTGCTGGCTCAGTGCAGCTTCTCCTCAGTCATTGCGGGACTCGCCACCTTTCTCAACAAGTTCCTGGAGAAGCAGTACGGTGCCTCCTCCTCATACGCCAACTTTCTCATAGGTGAGCACAGTTGGACAGCAGCTCTACACATGAACGGGTGCAACCACAGGGTGAAAAATATCCATCGGCAGGCAGCCACCTGCCCGTATTCCCCAGGCTTTTTAGTCCCATGGGAGGAAGTCATTGGAAACTCGTTTTCAGTTGAGACCTTGGGACAACCTCAAGGCAGTCGATGATTTTTCCTCTTTCCGGACCTGAGGCACCTGCGGAAGGCCAGGTTGTCTTGCAGCCTCTCGGAGACTGACTACATTTGTTCTCTAGTACTTTTAGACTGGATATTAGGAAAAATTTCTTTACGGAGAGAGTGGTCAAGCATTGGCTCAGGCTGCCCAGGGAGGCAGTGGAGTCACCATCACGGGAGGTGTTAAAGAAACATGTAGACGTGGCACTTCCGGACATGGTTTAGTGGGCATGGTGGTCTTGGGTTGACAATTGGACTTGATGATCTTAAAGGTCTTTTCCAACCTTAATGATGCTGTGACTCTGTGATTCTCTCGCTCTTGCGGGCCAGCAACCGCTCTCCTTGAAAATGTGCAGGGGTGAAAATGTGCAGGGCTTCACCACAGGGGTGAAGCAGGTCTGGATCACTCCGATGCTTAAAGAAGTTGGGAAGAGCAAGCGATTATGCATCAAGCTTGATCTTGCATCTCTAGGCTAGGCTCCTGAGGCTGAGGTTTCTCATAGGTGCTGACTGCCTTGGGTTTCGGTCTTCTTGGGTAACAGTGGGGTCTGTGGGTTCTCCCAAACACCACGACGTCCACAAAGCCACTACTTCCACCCCCTGCCTGCAGAGAGGTGCTTGGCAGGCAGGACCCCAGCTAACACCTTCATTCCTCTGCAGGAGCTGTCAACCTGCCAGCAGCAGCGCTCGGGATGCTCTTAGGAGGAATCGTCATGAAACGCTTTGCCTTCTCCCTCCGGGCCATCCCCCGGTTTGCTGTGGTGGTGCTCGTTTTCTCCATCCTCATCTGCCTGCCCATTTTCTTCATGGGCTGCTCCACAGGGCGCATCGATGGGATCTACCCCCCCAGGTAACAGCAGGTGCTTGGGTTGTTTCCAGCTTCTTGTTCCTCCACCTCTTGACTTGATTATCCATGGAGCAGGTTACATGCAGATGGAGGG